CTCAGCAAAGACTCTGCGCCTTCTCCTCCTCCTCCCCCCCCACCCCCCCCCCCTCCTCTCCTTCTCTTCAGACACCACCATCACCACTTTCTCTTCCTCCTCGTTCTTGCCTTGCTACTCGATTCTTCATTCTCGATCGGAACGCAACGCGACGAGCCCGGAAACCTTTTGCGGGCCCGGTAGCCTCGACCCGATCCATGTTTGCCGAGCGATTCGACAGCATAATGCCGGGGTCTTCTTGAAGCATCTTCCGTCGCTAAGAAGATTCTCTCGCCTCCCTGTCGCCCATACAAAAGCTCAGGCCTGAGATGCCATCAGATCCTTGTGAGCAAGAGGATGCTAATGTTGTGGATCACGCATGCTATCATACATTGTTGGCTTGCAAACGGAGAACGATTGAGCACAACACTCATTCTCTATTTATCCCCTCTCAAATCTTTTGCGGATTCGAAGATTTTCCTCTCCTTCTTACTTCACTGATAATTTCCTCCCCTCCTGCTGCAACAGCCATTGTTCCTTTGTAGGATAGTAGTCTACACGCGTCTAAGTCTCGTCTGACTCTCACACCCAATCTCTACCCCTCTCCCCTGCTCTGTACCCACCTCTCGCCCTCTCTGCTCTTCCTCCTCTGTTCCTTTTGTATGTCTCTCTCCTCTCCTGTTTCTGTCTGTCTGTCTGTCTGTCTGTCTGTCTGTCTGTCTGTCTGTCTGTCTGTCTGTCTGTCTGTCTGTCTCAGGCCGGGCGAGTCTGTCTTTTTCTCTCCTCGGCTCGAGGCTCTCCCTGACCCAGCATCTCTCCTTCCTCCCTCTCTCCCACACATCTCTCTTCTCCTCCTCCTCTCTCTCTCTCTACCCTCTTCATCGCTTCACTTCACTTATTTCCGGCATGGTCGTTGAAAACGATTAGGAAACTTTTCCGTACCCCCCACCCCCCTATGTCATCACCTGCAATTCCGATACTGACCCCTCCCACCCTGTGATTCAAGACACCCCCTCTATTTAGGACAAGTTTTAGTGTTTTTGATAATGGTGGGGTTAATAATGGGAGGGGTCCAGGGTTCAAGTCAGAGTCAATCGTACTACCCACCCCCCTACCGATGTCAACGATCAACTTCTGTCATCTTGACTGGAAATGAACTTCTGAGTGACTAGTGGAGGCCGACTTGAAGGCCCGGCGGGGCCCGGAAGAGCCAAGTCCCAGGACTCCTGGACACTACGTCACCAGGCCCGGGGGCCCGGGGAGCCTCAAGCCGATCATCACTGAGGGCCGCCGCCTGCGGAGTCAGGGCAGGCTCAGGCCGGGCCGCGCCCGGGACCCGGGGAGCCTCCGAGTCACTGCGGCCGATCGCCACTCAGGAGGGCTCAGGCCGCTCAGGCCCGGGTCCCGGAGTCCCGGCGGGGAGCCTCAGTCAGCCGATCGCCCGGTGACTCGGAGGGCTCAGGCTCAGGCCCGGGTGTCCGGGACTCCCCGGACCCGGGCCGGGGAGTCAGTCCGATCGATTTCATGTCACAAAACTTTCCTGCTTTTTAATAATTGAATTTTTGACAGCAGGGTTTATAAAGACTTTTATGATGTAGTACCCCCTTCCTTTCAAATGAAACCACCGGTGGTAGGTCCATTTCTTGTCGTGTCGTACCCTCTCTAAAAGGATCCTTACCAAGCTCAAACTAACGCCTCCCTTTCCCTCATCCAAGCCTGCGCCCTACCTTTTCTTTCCTCCCTCCTTTCCCTCTCTCAGCTCTAGCTCTGCTCTCTTTCCTCCCCACCGTCACACTTCGCTCCTACTTCCAGCCTAGTCTTGAAAACAAGTTGACGGCTCGTAAATATTCAGCGACGAACATTGCATTCTGCTTTCGCTCTGTGACGGAGTAGAAGACTGATTGATTGAAGATCAAGTTTTATCCATGAACAAAACTCAACAAATGAGGAAAATACTGCATGAAGTAAGAATCTACGAAACTATTGGAAATGAGTTAGATTTGCTCGAAGCATGGGTACCAGGATCAGGCTCTGAAGCCGACACATTACAATCCGAGGGTACTGCCATGGACGCGAAGAAGCGAAGATCCCATTTGCGAACAAGCAGAATCTACCATGAGCTCAAGGTACTTGTTATCAATGATGCAATCTTTCATTCACATTTGAGTAACTTTGTTTGTGTGGAGCAGAGACAAGTTAGGACAGCCCTGCTCTTGCGACACAGGAAGGATCTATCTGCGAGGAGTCGATCTGCACAAATAGCTGCAGCGAATCCTATCACGTTCCATCACTCCGACGCGTCTATGCAATCTTCAACGCAATACACAGTCTCATCTGGGATTTCAGGCTCCCATCGGGAAATCGTTTCAACGGAGAACAACAGAAACTTGGATCACCTCAATGAATTTAAGGAGGCTGTTGGAGAGAATATTGGCCATAAGAAAGAGATGCTGAAAATTTTTGAGAATATTTCAGGGGGGCCGAGGCAAACGTTACGTACTTGTCTTGATTGTTTGAAGTGTGGGAGAATGAACACCGGCGACGTTCTCCAGATGATGACATCATTCTCATCGTTGAGAAATTTCAACTGCGAGCTCAAAGCAAGACGATCCATATCAGACGATGCAGCATCTGCAAATCTATATGAATTTCCAAGGATAGTTGTAAGTTGATGAAAGCATTCATTCCTGTGCGACATGTGTCAGCTCGTTGAATCTGCAATGCTGTCACCCTGTTGCTGTATTTCTAATGCAACAAATGTCGCGTCACATACCTGCACTGTTGGCCTGCAGCGGTTGCTCCTGACTAGAATTTGCAACATTCCCAAATAAAAACTTCAAATCGTTGGCACTTTCATCATCTATGTTTAATCATTCTTGGAAAGCTACAAATTTCTTTTTAAGCCTGCTGGTGGGCCATTCCGTTGGCAAGTGATGAAACAGCGAAGTTTGAGGCCCCGTAGGAAGCACCAGAGCCAAGACCCCTGCAACCCTTTCAGACCTGAATACAGATGCAACTTTGATCGACCTGTGCGCATAGAAGGGGAAGGACTTGCAGTCAGGATCTGCCTCAACATTGGGGGTAGACCAGGTCACAGACCAGCCAGGCATGGTGTTCTAGTGGCCCGAAAATTCAGCGAAAACCGACGAGAATCTATGTACATACGCAGGTTCCGTCATGAGGAAGGAGAACCACAGGCTCAGGGCCCTGGGCAAACTGTATTGCAGATCAATCAGGCGCAGTAAAGGATGTAGCGGAGAGGATTTGGTGGAAGAAAGCTTTTGTGAAAATGTTGAGGTTCCCCTCTGATCTACACTTGCCCCCACATCATCACGTGCAACGAGTCGTCGCATCAATCAACAAGGCCATGAGTCGAACGCAAATCAAAGTTCTGATACAAACAAAAGAATGCTTCGAGATGTTTTTTGAAGCAGGAGATCGCTCAGTCCTTCAACAATGGCACATTGAATTCTGAACTCAAAATTTGCACATGGTTCGGTTCACAACAAACCCAGTTTGAAACATTGAGAAACAACAACATTGAGAAACAATGTTCTCAGTACCAAAATTGCAATTGAACGCTTCTCTCAATGAACTAACCGAATATTCCTTCGTGATACAGAAGAACAATCCATACTCAAAAACAAAGCTCAAAACAAGATCATCAAGTTGCTCCTCAGGTCAAATAGCTCTCAAACGGCATGAGCGTTAAAGCTATTGCCACATCACAATGATACAGCATTCAAGTGCTGTATCTTGCTTCTCTCATGTCAACACCTCGTTGGCACCGACCAAATCTTACTTCTGCTTGGTTCCCTCGACATCCTACATTCCGGCCTTCATACCCGCAAAATCTTCCCAATATCAACGCATCAATCATCGCATCAATCATCGCATCAGTCATCGCATCAATCATCGCATCAATCATCGCATCTATCATGTATTGTCTGTCTCTGTCCCCTTCTTCTCCTTCAGTTCCTCCACCTCCCTCTCGCTCACCATGTCCTTCAAGATAGCGCTCAGCATCTCCGCGTGGCTCTTCGCAACCGTCACCGACGTTACAAATACGTTTCTTATTCGTTACAGGAATCGTTTAAGAAGTTACACTAGTGACTGTAAGTTGTAACCGCCAAGAGAGGTACTACTGCTGTAGTACGTGTGACTATGATAGTCCGAGTAAAAGGTACTACCGTAGTCCGAGGCTCTCACATACTGGCCTAGTGACTATCATGATTGAGTGAAGAAAAGATACGATGCCATCATGGCATTAACAACTCTATCCTTGCTCTTTCAGACGGTGAATCTGAGTCCCGGGAGTCCGACGGTCACTAGTGTAAGGACGGTATGCCAGAGACTGAGCCTGAGTCAGCTATTATTCTACCCGGCATCAGCTATACGAGTATTATTCCGAGTTCTACCCCGGGCCCGGCGGCTCAGTGGCATCAGCCCGGCCTCCCCGGCCGGTGCTCGAGTCAGAGTCCCGGCGGACTCCGGGAGCATTCGCCGGAGTCGAGAGCCGAGTCCCCGGGACTCGGCTCTCGAACCCGGCGGAGTCCGCCGGGCCGCGGCTCAGCGGCTGCCCGTGGCACGGTGCGGCGGCCACGCCGGTGGCCCACCGTGCCCCGGCCCCGGTCGGCCGTCACTGCTGTCGGACCGACCGATACAGTACTCAGGCCGGTAACGGTCTGGCCGCGCCGGGCCGGCCGCTGGGCCCGGGCCGGCGTGAGCCGCCTTGAGCAGTTACAATCAAACTGTATGTTGTAACCGCCAAGCTTGGTCATATAGTACCCTACAATTTATGAGAACAAATGGGGGTGGGGGTGGTGTATTGCCAAGCGTTGAGTTTTGAACTTTCAGCAAGAGGCAACTGCTGAACCACCCCACCCTACCTCCCCTCATCCACCCCTCGAAGATGAAAATTGCTTGTAGTACCCCTACCCTCTACATCTGTATTATGTACCCCTACTGTGCGTCCGTGACCACTGACACCGTCACACCCCACCTCCTTGCTGTTTTCTACCCACCCCTTGTTCCTACTTTGTGATGTTTCTCGAAATAGCTTCTTTTCAAAACCATTACTGATAAAACATTTTAGAAAGAAACGATGCAGATTGCGAAATGATGAGAAAGGAACGAAAGATGGAGGGAGCGGGGAAGGGAAGGGAGCGGGAGGGAAGGGGAAGGGAAAAGGTCGGGAGAGCAAGAGATGAAAGATTGCAGGGCAAATAGCAGGACAGCTAAAGGGTTGTGAATATGACTGATATAAAAGTAGAGCAGATGATGGGAATGGAAAATGCGTAGGAGCTCCACTGTTCAGAACATGCGCAAGATCTCGATGTACACATAGGCAGAGAGAATGGAACCACATAATCCATCAAGTCTTTCGTCAACATGCATTTACCAAATCCCCCTGTGACCTTGTGTGACGATGGCTGACGTGTCATTGCAGCCTCTTGTGTTGATGAAACCTGAGCTCGTGTTCTCAACCGAGCTGGAAACAATCAAGGTAGCGGATGAAGCTTTCTTCCTCGATGCATTTGCACATCGGACTGGGCCGTCTGAAGCTAACCCAGCACCTTCGGACGTGACCAACCAGTTCTCGGTTGTTAATGCTTGACTTGCACCCGGTGCCTGATTGCGTCTCCGTGCCAGGCCGCAAATTTTGGGGACAGCAGCAGCAGGACATCGCACAATCACGCGAGCGATTTCCACGAGGAGGGAGACGTGTTGAAGTGGATCTGCCTCCACACCAAGTTCGTCCATGCAGAGATCTGGAATGTTGGACCTGCCGATCATCCCAGCGGCAATGGCGTGACAGGGCCGAACGACTTGGCTGGGGATGATCGCGAGTCAGTCGCGGCTTCTAGCGTGCGAGATCGTTCGCATCATTCGCTTGCTCGGGAGTCATCAGAGCGCTCGGTTGAGATGTCGATCGACGAGGAGTTTGAACGAGCTCTGTCGGCTGATGGACATCCTCACTTGAGGTGCTGGTGCTGCCTTGCCTGCTCCCTTCTCCTGAACCTTCTCTGTGTGCAGGAGTGAAGATGGCAACGTGCACGACGGGGAGTCGCATGCTCAGAACTCGCGAGGTCCGATGATGCATCTGTTTCACCACAAGGCCAAGGGAGCCCACCACTGCTGCTTCTCTGGTGTCTCTTTCACAAAGCCCTCCTCGAGCCATGCTTGGACCCGCCATGCTCCTTGCGGCCTCAGCGAGAGTGAAACAGTGCTGGTCGAGCTTGAACGGGTGAGGAGGGAAGCTAGCTTCCGCTGCGGGCAGTCGCTTCCTGGATCGATTTGGCTTCAGGGCCATCAAGACTGGAACATCTTCAATCAGATGATGGAGGACCCGGAGACCCCCAAGGATCCTCTCACTGAGCTGTCTGGGAAGCTCTTCCTCGCTTACCTCGGCCTCCCCATCTTCGATGCGGCTAACACTAAGCGCATCGTTGGGGTCCTCATGCTCTACCTGCCCCACGAGCCCACCAGCGGCGAGCGCACTCACAACGAGGAGATCGCGCACGTCGCTCGCTCTTACCTGGACGTCAAGCACAACCCAGACGTTATCAAGTGCATGAAACACAGCGCGGGGATGATCAGCCATATGCGGGCATACTTCCAGCGCAGGGACCGATTCAACTACTATGCCTACAAGATCGCAAGAGCCAAGACAGATAAGCCAGTGGGGGGGATAAGCGTCTTAGAGGAGGAGGAAACCTTCACGAACCTGTCGGCTGAGCCCTCGGCCCTAGAGGAGAAGCAGAAGATTCGAAGCTTCTTCTCCGAATACTGGCGGAAATGGAAGGGGGCGGAAGGGAAGCCACCGCCTCGGATGGACGTCAAGGGCATGGCTGTGACGTTTGTTGGCGCCTTCATCGGGCTCCTCGCAGTCTCCTACTCCGCCTGGGCCTGCGGTCCTGTCGGTAACGAGACTTACTACGCCATCATGCTGGGCTCGTACGGGGCACTCGCGACTCTTATCTTCGCGGCCCCGAGCTCTCCCTTCGCGCAACCTCGCATGGTGATCGGCTCGCACATCATCGCATGCAGCATCGCTGTGATCGTCAACTACCTCACGGACCCCAAGTACGTTGCCTTCTTCCCCCAGGTGACGCTCAGCTGCTTCTCCCTCTTGCTGACCTCCTACAGCCTGTCAGTGACGCCCTCGTACCTGCCCTGGTGATCACCGCCATGGCTGGCTCCGGCCTCACGCATCCCCCGGCAGCCGCATGTTCCATCATCTACATCAGTGGTGCTGCTTGTACCTCCGACCTGCTGCCTCTGACTTGCACCAGCTGGACCTCAAATCCGAGAATTGGGCTGGGCGTATCTGATCCCCTCCCTTCTTGGATGTGCGCCTGTTCTTCTCCCTCCCTCCTTCTACTCTAACGACACGCGCAGGCGTCATCCTCGTTTTCACAGCCCTCATCGTCAACAATCTTGCTCCCTTCCGCTCCTACCCTCTCTTCTGGTAGTCGACGCCTTGCTTCCTTTCCTCGCATATTCTTTCTCTCGCTTCGTTTTATTCATTCTAGCTGCCCCTCCTCTGCTCCCCTAGCTCTCATCTCGTCTTCTGCCCCTCCGAGAAGAGAGGCGGCGCTCGTCCTCTCGCAAGTTTCTGCGGATCATTCAGCAGCTGCTCTCAGTCTCATTTGCTTCACCTCCTTCCACTTTCTTGCCTTCACAGCCGCCCGGAGCGCAGCCTCGTATCTGCCCCTCCTCTCAGCATCGCCGCCTTGACATTGCCGTCTTCCTCCCTCCTCTCCTCTGCTTCTTTCAAGCTCCTCCATGAAGTTCTTCATACCTTATGTAGTCCGTGTGCGAGTACTGCACCGGATCCTCCGCCAACTCCTGCCGCATCCTCGCCTTCCTTGCCTCCTGCCACCTCGTCATCCCCGTCCCAGCACCCATGCCGAACCTTTCGCTTCTTGGGCAGCAGCAGCTTCTCGCGATGCTGTCCCAGCAGTGAGGAGAACGCACTTGCAAGGGAAGGAGGACCTTCATGCTTCGCTGTTGGGCCAGGTTGACTAGCTCACGCTGGCAAGCATCGGTGATCGCAGACTAGCGTGAGACGAGAGCAGGGGAGGAGGCATGGGGAGATGCTCATGATGGTTTACCTGCAGAGGAGGACGAAGCGCATCGACAGCTGAAGTATCCACCGGGTTGTATCCTGTCGAGACCTTCCAGCCCTTGTGTAAGACGATTCCTTTCGGGTAGAACCCTGGAGTCTAAGCGCCGCGTGAGCCTCAGTCGCTTGTCCTTGTAGTCGTACCAGGCTGCCGTCCTTGTCCATCATCGGGAACGCTCCTCTCTCCTCCACATCCGTCTTCGTCATCTTCATCTCTCCGCGAACAGCAAGAGCTTTGTCTTCATTTTCCTGCCCAGCGGGAAGGAAATAGGCTTTTCGGGGCACTCCAGCTAAGGCGAAGGGCGAGAAGGATCAGAAGAGAACAGGAAGAGGGAGAGGGAGAGGGAGAGGGAGAGGAAGAGGGGAGAAGAGGGGGAGGGGGAGGGAGAGGGAGGAGGAAGGAGGGGAAGGGGGAGGGAAGGAGGGGAGGAGGAGGGAGGAGGAGGGAGGAGGGAGGAAGGGGAGGGAGGAAGGGGAGGGGAGGGGGAGGGGGAGGAAGGAGGGGGGAAGGAGGGAAGGAGGGAAGGAGGGAAGGAGGAAGGAGGAAGG